TGGCAGTGCTCCAGGCCAGGCTGGATGGGGCTTGGAGCAACCTGGGACAGTGGAAGGTGTTCCTGCCCATGGCAAGGGGTGGAATGAGGTGACTTTTAAGGCCCCTTCCAAACCAGGCCATGATTTGGGGACTGACGATTATAAGAAAGGTTCCAAGGCCATGACAAATCAGAAGTGGCTCACAAGTCTTTAAAAGTCAGCATGAAGATCCCCCACCAGCGCCAGCTGGCTTTAACAGGTTTCTCTTCAAGATGTCCAAAACCTGACCTGAACCTTTTTCAGGAGAGTTAGATAAAATCAGTGTGGTTAATTACCCCATTGCTACTGTAATTAAAGAGCACTTCCTTCATACAACACTGAAACAGCATTTGCATTTTACTAATCTCACCTGCTTGCTTTGAACAGCTATGAGCCTGAACTATTCCCTGGCCTGGTTTATAGGATGGTCAAACCAAGGATAGTGCTGCTTATCTTTGTGTCTGGGAAAGTTGTACTGACTGGTAAGTGCTGCCTCTCTGTGCCTCTACCCACTGCTTCACTTTCTGAGAGCATTTAAATTAAACATTAACTAAAAATCAGTGTCTTGCCACAGTAAAGCCACTCAGGGATCTTTTTAATGGCTGCTGCAGCTTTATCTGTGTTTTCTGCAGATAACATCAGTATTGTTGCACTAGAATCTTGTATTGTTTCATATACAGAGTCTCAGATTTCCATGTTAAGTATTTTTTTTTTAATTCAAAGCCTGATGCCACGTGCCAATGCAGAGGATGCCAACAGGATGCTGACATGCCAGCAACTACTCAGGCGCTTAAATAGGAACCTCACAATAAGCAATTTAAAATTGCTTGGACAGGAAACAAACTTCTTAAAACACTTCACTGACAACATTTAGTAGGGATTATCAGAGGAAAGGGTGGAGATCTAAGAGCTTGTTCCAGACTGGCAAAAAAAGTTGTGAGGCAAAAGCCTTGCTGAGTCAGTGTGCTCAGGAGATACCTGTACCTCAGATCCCAGGTGACCTTTTCAAAACAGGTGAATTCCTGAGCTCCTGGCACATCCTTTTTGTGAAGCTCATGGAAATGCTTCTATTGAGATGTACTGAAAGGTAAATGGTGCTTGCTCCCAGAAGCTCCAAATGTGGTAATCATATTCACAACACAGCTTTGAGACATGGTGAAGGCAAGAGAAGTGCCTGCCTTAGCCAGAGATTCTCACAACCATAAATCAGGAATGAGCTCAGCCAACTGAAGGATGGGGCACTCAGGACAAAGCTTAAATGCTTCCCCCTCCAATGTCCACAATTCACTTAGGTCCAGTAAAATTATACTGGTCAGTAAAATCACACTGGTCAGTTCCATTCCACTGATGCTTGCATTTTTTTGGGGTACACTAATTGTAATGGCCTTGCTGCACACTCAGTCCTTTTCTGTGAGTCCTGGGCCCAGCTGTAATGACAAAACTGAATTTGCTGAGATGTGAGGAGGGTTTTTTCCCCTAATCAAGAAAGTTAACTTTACTTTTGAAAGTAAAAGTTGTGCTAAGGCAGATGAATTATTCGTGTCCAAGTGAGGACATGAGAAAAGGTTTACACATTCAACCTAAGCAGGGCTTAATTCCACTTTTAGTTCATTTAAATGCAGTTTGCTTCTAGCTGATGTTTGTTGGACCAGCATGAGTAGTGTTGCTGGCAGGGAATGTTCCTGCCTACTGCAATGCAGTTTGTGTGCAAAACTTGGTATTAAAGCTATGTTTACAGTACCACAGAAAAGGATTTGAAATCAAAGGTGTCCTAACACACAGCTTAAAATTAAAATTACTGCTCAGAGCTGGAGAAGGAGAGTTCTCAAACTGTGGAACAACTCCCAGTATGAAATAAGCGCGTTTCAATTCTTGTTTCTACCTTTCCACTCACCTTATGAACAGGCAGAGCTGTTATTCCTTAAGCAAATAACACCATGGTGGTGCTCAGATGCATTTTTTTCTTTCTTCAAAGCCAATATTTTGCAGCTGTCAAGAGCAGAAAATTGTTGTTTTGGTTCCACAGATTAAACAAAACTAGCCTTAAAGCTAAGCAAGCTAGAAATTGCTCTTTGAGGTGGCAGATAGAAATTCTGTATTTAATAGCAAGGTGCTTTCAGTCTTCTGGGTTTCTCATGGTTAATCTTACTGGGTTTAAACTGTATTTAGTTTAAGTTCAGCACTCTGTTAATTCATGGAGGTTTTTTTTCTTAAATGTCCATTTAGGAGCAAAAGACCGTTCTGAAATCTATGAGGCATTTGAGAACATCTACCCCATTTTAAGAGGTTTCAAGAAACCATGGTGACACGGCTCCCAAAGCAATCCAGAATAACACCTGGGCTTGTGCTGCTGTGCATGGAGCAGAACCAAGGGCGCTCCTGGACCCATTTGTGGATTATTAAGCAAATTATTCATTTCTGAATGCCACGTATGCTGATGCCTTTCTGTAGCTTGTGAAATGTTCTTTTCTTTCAGATTATCTGTCTGTAATCCACCTGAGTTCTGACTATTTCTGTCAAGTTAAAACACTTGATAAATTAATGCACTTTTAACAGAATGTATGTTAAGGTGGCACTTAAAAATATTTTGTAATAGAAGCCATGTGTCTCTTTCCCTCTTGAACAGGTGAATCCACACTGCACTTCAAATTGGCTTAATCAGCATCCTCAGCTCTAAGTGTCCTGAATTGCTCCTGCAGTGTTGTAGTTTCATATTTAAGCTCAACATATATTATTGTGTATAACATGGCTTACACAATCCTTTATGAGTTGATTTTGGTGGTTAGAACACAAGTGCTGGAATCACTCTGATCCCACTGGCTGGATAAACTCTTGTCTGTGAGGGTACAGGATTTTCTTTCACAGAGTCTCGTTCCAGGCCCTGGCTGCTGGGATATACCTAGAAAATCTGTGGGTGGAGGGATGTAACTCATTAAATTGTCTAATTTGATGTGGGACAAGTTAGATTTTAACCAAATGGTACCCACTTGTGTTACTCCCTCAGATGATGGGAGTTTGGTGCAGACAGAAGCATATTGGTTTAGAACTTTGTTAAAAATGGATTTGAGGAAAACACAAAAAGTCTTGGATGCTCATGACTTACTTATCTGTGTTATTTAACCAGAGTTCAGCCAATGGTCCTACATTTGGTAATTTTGGAGCAGAACCAGTGAGGTTTTCCTGTACTTGGCTGGAACTCAAGCCTTTCTTTTCAGAAGGTGTCCTGCTCAGCGTGGTGCAGGGAGCAGGAACAGTGCAAAGCCTATCCCATGGCTGCTCTGGAAAGCCCCTGGAAGCAAGCCACAACAGTTCTGCTGTGTCCTTCCCTCCTGAAGGTGTTGCTACCTGTCTGAAAACACCACTAGAGGTTGCTCTTAGATGACTTAAGTGTAACCCAGGCCAAAATCCTCCTCGGTCCTTGCTGGAAATACTCGGCTCAACTCAAAACAGGGTCCTGCTGGGCTGAGTTTTGCTGCCACAAAAGTTTATTTCTGATTCGGTGAGGGTGTAGCTTCATCTTCTGTATCTGTTATGTGTCTCTCACAAGTGTTTTTATACCTATCTCCCTGCAAACTTTGAAAAACTTGGTGCACTTCCTCACGATAAGCTGTTCTTAGCTGTTATCAGTTTCTGTCAAACTGTGGATTTCCACACTCAAATCTATTTTAAACACAGGCTTACTTTTCTGTTTGCTTTCTAACGTTGGAGACTTTCCACAACCATGGGCTGGACTTTTATTTGCACTGTAGCTGCAGTAGAAGCTGGTGAGCTTCAGTTAGAACAATCTTTTGTAAGTGAAAACACCTTGGTTTTATTGAGGTATTGGGGGGGAAAAAAAGTTTATCTAAGATGAGCCCTCTTCAAGAAATCACATTTTGCTTAAGAGCTTGCCATGTGATTTCAGTGGTAAAATTAGTGCTCTTTGGAAGTACAGATAAAGCCTTAGAGATAAGAAGTGGGTTCTGTGCCTTTTCACTGAGCTACTGATTAAGTTAATGTTTGCTATGGTAACTCTTGTCTTAAAAACAACAATCTTGGTTCTACCTCCACAGTGCTGTTCCTGCTTAGTGTTTGATAACCCTGGGAAGGGGGGAAGATATAGGCTGGGAATTGCTCTTAAAAAGAAAAGAAAAAAAGAGTAATGTGTTGTTCTGTTGCAGTTGTGTTTCTTTTGGGAAGGGGCATATGGGGATATTGCTTAAGTTATTCTGGCTTCTGTGGACTGTCTCCTCTAATTGCCTACAGACAGAAGAGGAAATCACTTCAAACTGAGACTAGGTTCACATTAGGAAATATTAGTTAGCAGGAAAGACTTTTTTACTCAGAAAAGGGGTGGTGAGGCCCAGGGTGCCCAGAGAAGCTGTGGCTGCCCCTGGCTCCCTGGAAGTGTCCGAGGCCAGGCTGGACAGGGCTTGGAGCAGCCTGGGATAGTGGAAGTGTTAATTTCGGGGTCGGGAGCTTGGAATTGGATGGTTTTTAAGGTCCCTTCTCCTCTGTTCATTTCGGGGTCGGGAGCTTGGAATTGGATGATTTTTAAGGTCCCTTCTCCTCAACCCTCCTTCATCCTGTGTCTTTAACTCCTCATCGTCGCTCCACCATGGGGCCTGGGTTGAGGCAGCCTCTCTCTGCGTCGCTTTTCAGGCTGTGCATCGGTATTTGCCGCCTGGACAAAGCGATGTGGGTGTTACTGTAAATACACGCTTGGGAGCCGCAGTCCCCACAGCAGCGTTACTGCCTGGTTATACTACGGCTAGCCGCTGTGAAGCCCCATGAGCCGCATAAAACACCCCTATCGCTCTGGGACGATCCCAGCGGCGCTCCTTTTGCTCCTGCACCAGGCAAAGGGCGCAGTTTCTGTTAAAAATCGGGATTTTCCCGGCGGAGCGCGGCCCGTCCCGCGCCCTCCCCCGCTCCCGCCCGCCGCCTCAGCGCCCCTTCCCACAATGCCCTGCCCGGCAACAGCGTCCCACGTGACCCGCGGCCCCAACATGGCGGCTCCCAGCGGCCGCCGGCCGCAGCCCGCGGGGCCGGGCGGGGGCAGCGGCGCCGGGCCCGGGGCTCTGCGGGGCGCCGAGGAGGACGCCGAGGGTCTCTACGTGGCGGTGGAGCGGTGCCCGCTCTGCAACACCACGCGCCGCCGCCTCACCTGCGCCAAGTGCGTGCAGAGCGGCGACTTCGTCTTCTTCGACGGGCGCGACTCCGAGAGGTACCGGCGGCGCTGAGGGGAGCGAGGCGGCCTCTGCCTGCCCTGCTGCGGGTCGCTGTGCCTCGGGGCTGGGGATGGGGGCCGGGTTGTGCCTCTTCCCCGCTGTCCCGGGGCTCGGGGGGCTCAGGGTGTGGGTGGGGAACGCTCCGGGGGCCGCCGGGCCCGGCCCGGGGCTGGGGGCGGACACAGCAGGACCCTCGGTACGAGCCTTGAAATAATAATAATAATAATTAAGGGGTCACCCCGAGTTTCGCTGGGTCAGGTGCAGGTGTGTCCGTGTCGATGTAGCCACAGGAGCTCCAGGCAGTTCAGGGCACAGAGACCCGAGCAGTGTTATTCCAAACGGGTTTCAAACGGTTATTTTCGCCAACGCTCCTTGTAACAGCAGTTCTCTAAATCACTAAGCAAAATCACGAAGGTGTATAAGAAAGAAAAGAAACATTTTATTGTGTGTATAGCCATAAATGTGGACAAATCCCCTTGAGCTCACGGTGGGCCATGCTGCTCCTTTTGGAGCGCTGGCTCTCCCTGGAGCAACGCTGTGCCCATAAACAAATTTCCTCACGGGATGACTCAGACGGCTCCTCCAGCGCTGCTGTCCATCCCAGATTCTTCAAAAGTCCCCAGGGCCATGTCTGGAAGGGCTCCGATTCTTGGCTGGCACCGTGTTCTTGGTCCCTGGTTAGCAGCTGCTGGGAGTGATTCCTGGGGCTATTTTGGGAAGGTGTCCAGCAGCCACCAGTGTGTGGGGTGGCCGTGTCCTCGCTCCAAAGGCTCCTTGTGTCCCCAGGAACAAGGGGACAGTGGTGCCTTTCACCCACCAGCGTCCACGGGAGTGGGGAAATGCTGTCAGCCAGCGTGAGTCAGCTTGCAGAACTGAGACTTTAGTCTGTCACTGGATGGGTTTCCCTTTTGTAATGTAAAAAAGCTGTGTTGGAGAACCACAAACTGGATTGAGCCTGTCTAAAATAGGTGGAAAACGTGTAGTTGTGTGAGACTGCTTGGGGTTTTCTGCAGATTCTATTAAAAGGTTGGATATGGAGCTTGGAATATAAACCAAGTTTGGGTTTTTTTCCTGTCTCTTTTGCGGCCTTAAGTTTTTGGCTAAACATCAGGTTTAATTATAGAAATTCAATTGTAGCCTTTGTTAGAGTTGAAGCTCTGTTGTTTTCTATTAACCAAAGCTTAAGAAGTCTTTGCCCATCAAGAAAATGAAGTCATAAAGAAGCAGCTTTAGCCAAAGTACCAGAAGCAGCAGTGTAAGAGAAAACCCTCTTTATCTTCTCACATGAGACAGGATCAGCTTTACTGTCTGACAGTTGTCACTGCATCCTCCTGAGAAGCTTTCACTGCCCCATTTGTCTGTGGCTGGAAAGGCTCCTGTATATTTACCTTGTGTTTTTTAACTGCAAGAATTAAATCTCTTCTTTTTTTTTTTTTTTTTCTTTTTTCTTTTTTTTGGTCTTTTTCTCCCCCTTCTCTGCCTGGACATCACAGTTCCATCCCTGGGGGTCACTGCTGTTTTATTAACCTGGGGCTTCCTTACACACTCCCATTTCCCCAGGCTTTGTTTCTCCTGCTGCTCAGAACTTTTCCATTAATTAATTGCAGTAGTGCAATTCATTAAAAATGGCAAATTTATTTTAATGAATTAAAGGAGCACCACACTTGTATGAATAACACAGTGTTAACAACTTAAATATCCTCAGTGGCTGCAGGAACACTGTGTAGGGACAAAAGCTTGGGTTTTGAGGATAATGGGATTATGTTTAAACCGTGCCTGAAACATTTTGTTTGCATCCTCTAATTAATATTTGGAATGACTGATTTAAGAGTGGGGAAGAGGTCATCTTTCTTTGTTTGCTCTTTATGGGTGTCTCTGAATTTCTTGTGATGTGAGCCCTGGGAAAGGGGGAGATGTTTGAAGTGGTGACCAAGCAGCACCAGGGCAGAGGCACGCAGGGACAGCTGCAGTTCAGGGGCTGCCTTTCAGCTGGTGTTTACTGCCATCGTTGTTTATTTATTTATTTTATGCCTTCTAGTAGTACCTGGGTTAATTTTAGATCAGCCACTGCTGGAGGAGTGTCATGACAAGGGCTTTGCTGAGTGGCTCAGTGTGAGAATGTGGAAGTGTTTGGGGGCACTTGGGCCTCCCATTTATCTTTTTGAATTGTTACAGATGGAGCAAAAGGATCGTTATCTTCCTGGTTAAATAGAAAGAAACCAATCATTACTCCTTGTATCCAACAGTGGTTTCTTTTTAGAATTTTCTTGTAAATTTTCCTTATTTGAAGACAAACAATTTCATGTTCTAATTGTTTCAGATTTCTTGGGACTATTTGGTGTGCTAACTTTTAGAAGAACTACCGTAAAATTGGAAGTTTTTCATCTGTCTGGCGAAAATCACACCCCATATCTGTGAGGGGGAGAGACTGAGGAGCTGTTAAGATTAATTACTTAAGGAGAGCTACAATTAAGGATGAGTAGTCCAGAAGTCCTCCAGTAGAACAGTCACTGCTGTCCTTCTTTTCATGACTAATGTGTTGTGTGTTGAAAAGCCAAGCTGGCATCTTGATGTTGGTCTCAGCTCAGAGGTTCTTCTTCCTCCTGGGAGTGTCCTCCAGCCTGTCGTGTACATAAATTCTCAGAGTGTGTTTCCCAGACTGCTGAACTGCTTTGCTTTGTGTATCTGCAGCTGGCAAAAGCCAAAGACAATGTGATTGTGACGTCTGAGCCCAGCTAATTTCTCCAAGCTATGGGTTCTGGTTAGGAATAGTGATTTTTTTTCAGCAGGGGAGTTCTAGTGAATATAGTGCCATCAGCTCCTTCAGCATTAATCAACTCCTGCAGATTAGGAAGCCCCTCTTTCTGGTTGCTTCTCTCTAATCATGACCATGTGGAAATAAGCCAGGCAGCCACAGAAAATCTCACCTTAATGTGATAAGACTTGAGGAAAGAGAAACATTTCAAGGGTAATTCTAGATGTTCTCTCAGTTTACATTTTATGGGAGTTCCTATAATAATTCATCCCAAGTTTTGTTTCTTTGCCAAATTGAAAGGCTAAAGATATATAAAGAAGGAGTTGCAGGATGCAGTGCAATTGAAATCAGAGCTATATAAAGCAGTGGAAATGTTTGCTTAGGAGAAACCTGCTGGAGGATTTGGTGGGAGCTGTTTGACATCACTGCCAAAGCCATGAGATGGAATTTCTACAGGCTTCCCAAATACTTCTGTCTTCCTCCACAGCCAGAACTTCCTTTATTCCTGTGTTCTTTGACAGATCATTCAGCTTTTTGCTGATGTGATGGACAGGAATTGGGTGATTCTGTTCAGTCTGTGCCCATGAATCCAGCTGAGAAACCAGGAGTTGCCAGATTAGCCCAGCGCTCTCCCTGGGTGGCTGCTGAGCTCTGAGTTTTGTGCCAGGGGATTTTTGGTGGCAGCCAAAGGTCGGGGTGCAGTAGGTGTGCTCTGCTCTGTGGTAAACAGGAGGCTCATGCAGGGCCTTTTGTCATTTCCAGGGTGACTCCTGGGGTGAGGACACACAGGAAGAGGGGATGAGCTGGGCTGAGCAGCTGGGCTCCAGTCGCACCACATTCCTCCAGCTCACGTGTGGCCTCTGGCTTTTGTGCCAAGCACCTGCATTTGGTTTTGGTTTGTTTTGGAAGGAAAACAGATTCTTTTGCTTGACTACAGAAGCAGCAGCCAGTGGTTTTGTTGTTCTAATGCTAATGTCATCTTGGAGGGTGGTTACACATGCTCTGAATCCAAAGGTAGTCACCAAGCTTTCAGATTTCAGCACTTGAAGGGAAAAAATGAAGCATTTTGAAGTCTTACCTGAAATCAAATCCATAGAGTAACAGAGAGGGAAATCCAAGATGTCATCCTGTCAAGGCTTAGTGTACTATTCCTTCTAAATAAAGCATAAATGTCCATGAAATTAAGGTGAAATCATAAAATCACATGGTTTGGTTGGAAGGGACCTTAAGGACTATTTAGTTCCAACCCCTGCCATGGGCAGGGGCACCTTCATGCTCCATCCTGCCTGGTCTTGAACACTTCCAGGAATGGGGCATCTGCAAATATCACAGCTCTGGTGGGATGAAATCATCAATTCTATGTGTTGCAGAGAAAAATGGAATTAATTATGGAACAGTAAGGGGGCCAGAATGTGGCTCTTCTGTATTCTCAAAGGGTGAAAACACAGGATGGTGAATCCTGCAGAAGTTCCTTTCTGATCAGTTCCCATATCCTAGAGTCCAGTGAAGCAGAGCTGAAGCAGACATTTGAGTCATGGGCTGTGTGAGATAGTACTGTTAATTTCTCCAGTGACTGAAGGTTTTTAAAGTACTCCATGTTTTTTGTAACACACAAAATACTGATCTTGCTAAGCTGTAAATCTAGAAATAGCAGTAATTTGATGTTTATTTGATAGTTTGACACTCTGATGTTTCTCCAGCTTAGAGGCTCTGTTGCAATTCCAGTGAGACTCATGCTCTAGAGTTCTGCAAGAGTTTTACACATTTAGCCATTAACTTCCCCAGATCAAGACAGATAACTGAGGTTTGGAGAATCCCCAAGCTTCAATTTTATTATCTTTTTCAGACAACTTACAGTGCTGTAATTGTGCAAAATATCAATAAAAGAATTTAATCTCTTCCAGGTTTTCAGAAAAGAAAGAAAGGCTGATGCATCTTAAAACCAAACAGAGAGAATTCCAAAAACAGTAAGTTGTATTTATTAAATTGGTATAAAAGCTAAGAGATCTCATAAAAAGAAACAATCTCTTTTAATACACTGTTGCTGCAGACAGACGAAGTCCAGATAGTCATAAAACTTTCAATCATGTTTTTTCCTCTAGTGTTTTGAAGGCCATGGAAGGGAAAGAAATAACTGATCAGCTGGTGAGTTGCTCCAAGTGTCCCATGGTTTTTAAACTCTCTCAATTCCTAGATCTCATAGTTTAAATTTACCTTGAGGGCATTGTGCTGCTTTCCCAAAGAGCCTGTTGTAAGCAAAACTGAAATGGGCTCTGCCAGCAGAGTGTTCCAAGCTGTCTGAATTTTTCATTTCTCACTAGATACTTGTTCAATAACTTATTTTACCAATTGACTTTATGCTAAGCACTCATTTTGTTTGTGGCATTCCTCTGTGCACAAAACACTGTATGAAATATTTAGCTGTTTGATCCATTCAAGAGCATCCTGCTACTTTTTGCACTAAAGCTGCTGGCTTTGCTGTTAATCATTAGTTCAGTGTGTTTGAAGTCGTTTGTGCCCTAGAGTTGCTGAATGTTCTTTTTCAGAGATGGAAAATAATGTCTTGCAAGATGAGGATTGAGCAGCTGAAACAGACCATTTGCAAAGAAAATGATGAAATGACAAGACGTGAGTAATGCCTGTGCTTTTGTGATGTGGAAAAACTCCCTGTGCCTTAGAATGAAAAATCAGTTGAGGTGAATTTGACCATTATTTTTTTTTTAATGGAGAATTTCCAAACTGTCGCTTTCTAAATCAACCTGAAGAATCACTGAGTGGATTTTGGCCTTTTTATTCTTGGGTTTTAATTAGCAGACAGCAGACATTATTCAGCTGGATGGAGATGGTTTTGCAGCAGCTTTAAGAGCAAATGCTTAGCAGCCTGTGACTCTGGCTGTGTCCCTAGAGATGGCTTTATTCAGTGTAGTGTTTCTGATCACTTCCTCTGAGGAGCAAACAGCTCTGCAGCTGTCACAGATTCCCTGAAACTGCTGAATTTTAACCCACACCTGTCTGAAAATCCTGAAATCCTACTTGAGCAAGAGTCACTGAAATCAAGGTGTAGGCTCCATTCAGAAACTTCAGCTTTTGAAACCCGTTGGATTGTTTTACACTAAATTTGCAGGGTCATTTTTCAGAAGAGAATATGCAGCTCTCCTTACAACCTACATGCAAGGGAAGTAGAGGAAGCATATTGTTTGAATCTGGGATATTATTATGGCTTGAAATTCAAGAGGGGCCATACAAAGAGTGGAAGCAGAGGCAAAACCTGAGAAGAATCATGAAGAATTAGCACGGGCTTGGGGTGAAAAAACCAAAAAGGCTGAGATGCAAAATTATTTTCAATTAAAAAGGAGGATGGATAGTAACAATAGTAAATGGATGATAAAGAAAAGGTGGAGGAGCAGACAAGTGTGTTAGTTAACAGAAAAGAGAGCAGTAACAGGGAAGTTTGAAGCATTCATTCAGTGCTGCCTTTGCTTCATCTTCCTGCAAAGAAAATGGGATCAGCTGCTTAGCCAGGTTCAGTTTGACACTATGAGAGGACTGCAGGCTAAGGAAAGGAAACAGACAGCTACACATTAATTTGCTTTATGGAAGCCAAGGAACAAGCTGAAGTGGTCTGTGGAGCACTTGGGAACACGTGAGGGAGTGAGGGTGTGTGAGCAGCTGAAAACAGTCCCTGCTTTCAAAGGGTGCAGGAAGGGAGAGCCTCAAAGTGATGGCACAGGCATCCTGCACACCTAGGGGGGCTGGTAACTGACAGGTAAGGTGGTTAAAAATAGCCATCACTTGGTTATGATATTCATGTCAAATCCATGTTTTGTTATTTATGTCATGATATTCATGTCAAATCAACCCCTCATCAAGTGGTGCAGTGGAGGATGAAGCAGAAGCTGCACGTAATTTGGATTTGGGCACTGCCTGAAACTGTCTTGTGAGCAAACAGAATTTGCTCTGGGTGTAACCCCTGCAAGGTGATCACAAAAGGTTAGAAAAGCTGCATTCAGAGTGTGGTGGCACTGGTCAAGCTGAGGAGGTTGAGACAGGTGGAGCTCAGCAGGAGCCAGTTCCTGGCCCAGTTCTCCTCAGTATTTCCCATAATAGCTCAGTAGAATAGAGGGTGGAATGGAGGAAGCCAGGCTGGATGGTGAAATGACTTCTGTGGAGACCAGGACCAAATTCAAAATCATGCAGATAAATAGCATCATCTGAAAAGGACAAAGTCAAGGTACACGTTGTTGTAAAGAGAAACATAAACCCAGAATGGGGGATGGTGGTGAGATTTGTCAGGAAGGGATCTGGGGAACTGCAAATTAAATAAAAATTATCAATCTTGTGCTGCTCCAGAAAGGTTCAGATCTCTTTCTGGGTTAACTAATATAGGTGCTGTATTTAAGATGGAAGCAGTTATCGTGCTGTGCCAGGTGTTGCTGTTGCTTTAGTGGAAGCCTGGTGTCCAATTTAAACAATTTAAGAAAGATACAAATCATCTGAGGAAAGTCTGAGTATTGGAAATTAAATAGAACAGCTAAGAAAATTCATGTTTGGTTTAGAGAGGAGGAAGTTGAAGAAAAACAAGCTTTTCAGTGGGTAGAAGTTTATTGTTATGGAGATTAGATTATGACTTTTTGTCTTTTGCCTGTGAAGCAAGGAGAAGAGGAAATCAATGTGACTTTAAGGAATTAGTCACCTCTTCTCAAAATGCTCTGCTCTGGAGGTGGCAGAGTGTTAGGACCAACCAGGGAGTGGAGTTCTCCATTTTCCCACTCTTCTGTGGAATTTATTATCTGCAACTTCTGCAATTTCTCTTGATTCACAGTGAATTTGATTAGATGTAACCTAAAACTGAGCTGACTGTTGCCCAACTAACCTATTGTTAGCTCAGTTGCTTTTGGAGAGAGACCAGAAATGAATTCTAGCTGTGAGCAGCCAACAGATCAGGATCCAACCTGGTCACTTTTGGTCCACATTAAAAAGTGTGAAAAGGTTGTTTCTCTGCTCTTGGATGTGGCACAGTTTAATTCTCTGAAATAAAAACCATTTCTAGAACACTTGGTTCCTGCTTTTGGAGTTGACTCTCCTGGAAACCTCAATAAGTGGTGGTGCTTAAAATAATGTTTTAAAATCTGTGTGTTTGCCTTCTTTCTGTGCAGAACAGTTCAAGGAGACAGGCTTGCAAATCCCTGGCAGAGCTCTCTGGGCAGAGATCAGTGTGCCTGGGCTTGCACGTATCAGGCAGTGCAGGTGTGTGGGACACAGTGGTGTCCTGAAATACTCCTGGGGACAGATTTTTAATCACCTCATAAACTGGGTCATAAAGCAGAGGTGCTGTGCAGAGGGCAGGACAGTTTTCTGTGCACTGGGACTGCTGAAGAGGAAATGTGAGTGCAGTGTCTCCCCTGCTCCCAAATAATTGCTGTTGGACCTGCAGGGAAGGGAGTTCACTCTGAAAAAGTAGCCTTTCAAGTCAAACATGAATGTGAAAATTGAACAGCTGGACCTTTTCCTCCTCATCCTGTCTCCTGTTCTTTATGCAAAGGGAGACTTTGGGAATATGACTGCAAGTGTTAATTGATTTTCTGTTGATGTTACAGGACTGCTTAAAGGAAAGGGAATTACAGCTGACACATAGGGATTCAGGCATTGCTCAGAGAAAAGTGGATTTTTCTACTGCATCTCTAACAAGGGTCACTTATTTATATTATATAAACCTGAGGATTATTAGTTCTTATCTTCATGGAGGAGCTTTTCTCACCTCCTTTAATTTGGGACTTTGCATCTCCCACATACCAGATCTTCCTTCCTACCAGACACACCATGGATTGCAGCAGATCAGATGACTGGAAATAATTCCTGATGTTCAGAGAGAGCAGCCTCTGTGTCTGCAGGGGCAGGCACATTTCAAACTAGGGCACAGGGAGAGTTTAAACTTGTACTTGGGAAGAGCACAAGAAATCTTTCCCAGTGCTTTTAAAAGACAGAGGTGGCTGACTCTCATTATTGCAGCTATTTATTTTATATCTGAATTAGCAGATTATAGGATCATCAAGGTTGCAAAAGACCTCTAAGATCATCAGGCCCAGCCTTGGATGCTTCAAGATGCTCTTGCAGGGTATTTTTCCAAGCCTCAGTGTGCCTCACACGTGGAGTGAATCCAGGCAGTTACAGCACTTCAGCCCATGAGCACAGCTCCCATTTGTGAGTGGAAAGGGAGATAGCCAGTGTTCCCTGTGGGAACAAGGAGCCTGCACTGTTGGGATCCAAGTGCTGTGAGAGCACATCCATGGGAGAATCCCAAATAACCCACACTACCAGCAGCAGAGGTGCCAGGACTGGTGAATGAAGATGCTATCTGCACTTGATTTTGGCTGCAAGCAGGGCAGGGCTTTTTTGGCCAGCACGATAGAAACATGTACAGTCAGGCTATTTCTGTCAGGATGATTACCTCAGGAGTTTAATTAAACTGGGAAATCTTGGCTTTTGTGCTCCAAATCCAGAAATAGCTAGGTAAAAGATAGGGAAAGAATAATCCCAGTTGCAGTCTCTTTGGAGATCTCCAGAGGAGATTAAAAAGCTATACCACTGAGCAGCTGGAAGAAGTTAATAGTTTAGCAGGGTTTTCTGTTTTAAGCTGCCATAGATCTTGTTTTCCATAAATATTAATAAAGCTTCTCTCAAGCTTTTCCTACAAGCACTTCCCAGCTCCTTTTCCAAGGGCTAACATCTGCTGCTGTTCTCACAGACACAGAGGGGCTGCTGAGGATTAAAGAGGAGAACCAGAAGCATTATCGCAGGGCTCAGAGGCACCAGGAGAAGAAGGAGAAGATCCAGAAGCACAACAGGAAACTGGGAGACCTGGTGGAGAAAAAAACCTACGACCTGAAAACGCAGTACGAGCACCTGGCAAACCTCCGGCGCGCACACATCCTGGAGCTGACCTCGGTCATCTTCCCCATGGAGGAGGTGAAGACAAGCATGAGGTATGGCAGGCTTGTCCTTTTGGGATCGTTTTGATTGGCTTTAGGCACCCAGAAGGGAGTTGTGTCAGTCTGTAGGTGGTCTGGCTCCCTGAGGGTCTGTGGGAAGGAGGAGGAGTTGTGTTCTCATCCACAGATAGAGGTCCAGGACAGAAGAATCTGAATCTGGAGGTGCTTGCATCTCCCCACTGAGAGATAAGAGCTGCATGTCCAGTGTTCAGCTTCCTTAAAATATGGAGTCCCCATCCCTGGAAGTGTTCAGGGCCAGGGTGGACAGGGCATAGAGCAGCCTGGTCTAGTAGAAGGTGTCCCTACCCATGGCAGGGGTGGAATGAGTTGAGGTGTCCCTTCCAACCCAAACCTTTCTAAGATTCTATAAAATTAAAATAATTAAAATTATTTTATAGAGGTAGTTAAAAATCCCAGAGCAAAAAAAGTAGTTTTGGGAATGAAGAGTTTTGCAGAAGTGGTCTATAAGGTCCTTTCAAAAACAGGTAATGAAAAATCCCAGAGCAAATAAAAGTAGTTTTGGGAATGAAGAGTTTTGCAGGAGTGGTCTATAAGGTCCTTTCCAACCCAAACCATTCCTGGATTCCACAAAAACAGCCAGTTAAAAACTCCAGAACAAATGACAGTACTTTTGGGACTGAGGACTTTTACAGGAGCATTCCTACAAGCCCTTTGCCCTGGGTGAAATCTGGCTCAGTGCCTGCCAGGTGTGTGTCTGATTCCATTCCCAACCACTTCTTTCCAACCCCTCTGGGCCCTGCAGGGACCCTGCAGACGTGTCCTCAGAGAGTGACAATGCCATGACCTCCAGCACTGTGAGCAAGCTGGCAGAGGCACGGAGAACCACGTACCTGTCCGGGAGGTGGGTGTGTGACGACCACAACGGGGACACCAGCATCAGCATCACGGGGCCCTGGATCATCCTCCCCAACAACGGGGACTACTCTGCTTACTACAACTGGGTGGAGGAGAAGAAGACTACACAGGGACCTGGTAAGGGGCAAGGCATGGTTTTAGGCAGCTGGGACACTTTGGGTGCCAGCAGAAGGCACTGAGGAGCAGTAGGCTGGTCCATTTGTTCTCAGCCCGAGCCAGAAATAAATGGCAGAATAGGGATTTTAGGAGAGGATTCCCTACCCAGTTGGAACTAGGTGGTCTTTAAGGTCCTTTCTAACCCAAACCATTCTGTGATTTTATGACTAGTCTTCTGAAATCTTCTTTTGCATGACATGCTCACTGGGATGCACAGCACAGTAAAATAGAGAAAGTTAATTATTCACAGTTTTGACACAGTTCACATGTCATCATCTTAACAGGAATTCCAAGAATTACTATTTTCTTCCAGCTTCTGACAGATTTCACTGGAAATGATTGCTAGATTCAGGCTGTTCTCCATACTTAGAAATGACATATTCCAGAGTAGACTCCAGGAACATATTAACACACCCACTGAGACTTCATTTAAAACAAAGATTTCATGTTGTTTTTATTTCTTTCAGATATGGAACATAATAACCCTGCTCATACCATCAGTGCTGCATTGTGCTATGCAACTCAGCTCGTTAACACTTTGTCTCTCATACTTGATGTAAATCTTCCCAAGAAGCTCTGCAACAGGCAAGTAAAAACACAGCAGGGGAATCTTTGACCTTAGATCAGGTTAGTTTGAGGAGTAAAGTCATGGATTGGAACAGCTTTTGATAACATAGGTTGCTTGTGGTTTTTTTTGTTTGAGGGGAGGCCTAGCAGGATTTTAGAGCACAGAGATTGGAACAGCTTTTGGTAACATAGGTTGCTTGTGGATTTTTGTGCTGTTTGAGGGGAGGCCTAGCAGGATTTTAGAGCACAGTTAACAGTCCCTCCCTCCTTTTTTACCTCCTGAGAGGGAGACCAACCATCACAGTTGAAAATAACACCTCTCTAATTGACATATTCAGCATCCTCAATTGAGAGATGAAATGTGGCAGTGCATGCAGTGCACTTTTCATTTTACTGGAGCCCACTGTGCTTCACAAAATCCCAGCCCAGTCCAGCAGCTCTGGAACAGCTCTGCTGCCTCCTGTGCTGTAGGACAAGTGCTTTAATATGGCCTGGCAGCAGTGTCATTCCCAATGGGATGAAAAACCCATGGGCAGCACACCTAGGAGTAAACCCCCTATGGGATGAAGAGCACTGTTAGAATTTTGGTGTCTGTGTGGAGCAGCTGGGATCTGCACAGAAGGAGCTGCAGACCTGCTCAGACTGCCAGGGGTTCCAGATGTGCTGCTGAGATTCTTTTAAGTGTTTTAAAATAGTGGTTGTCAATTTGAGAGCACAAAAGTTGTGTAAGGTTTCAGCTTTTTCCCAACCCGTGGCTGGGGGGTTTGGAACCAGATGATCTGAATGTCCCTTCCAACCCAAACCAATTTGTGATTCTCTGATTTTGTTTGGGTGTCCAGCCCTCGCAGAAGGAAAAGGTTTGGAACAGGAAATGATGCAAGACTTCAAAGGAGATCTGAAACAGTTTGGCTCTGGTGGATCTGAGTTCCCTACAGTTCACACCACCTGTCCTGTGCAAACTGGTGAGGCCAGAGCAAGCAGAGCTTGATGATAAAATGCTCACAGTCCTGCTAGGTTTAAAATTAATCTCCTCAGCACTCTAGAACTGGCTGTAGACTTTGAACAAGTGCTCGCTGTGAGGATTTTTACTCCAGGATTTCTTAGGAAGCCAGGGCATGGAATGCTGATGCCTCCAGTAAGTGTATTTTCACAGCATTTTGTTTTCCGTGTATTTTTGTGTGTGTGGTGTTTTAACAGTGAATTCTGTGGAGAGAATCTCAGCAGACACAGGTTCACACGGGCAGTGAAGAAGCTGAATGCTAATATCCTTCACCTCTGCTTCTCTCAGGTAAGGAGGAGGCACATTTGATATCTTTAAATAGCTTTTTTAATATCAGCTGTGCCTGCTGGTTTCCTTCAGGACCTGATCATGTTTTTTTTTGTTTTTTTTTTCCTTTCCCCATGTCAGCATGTAAATTTAGATCTGTTGCACCCCCTGCATACCCTCAGGAACCTCATGTACCTGGTCAGCCCAGACACCGAGAACTTGGGCAGGTAAGCAAATCAAAATATGAAATCTTCTGTGGCTGAATCCCTTTGGAATTGTTACTTGTGAGGGAAACTCTCTTCTGCTGTGCCTATAGATCAGTCCTCAGCACAGAAATCAGGGTAGTTCTAGGAGGAGGAAAGACTGGACAGAAAAAGGAGCTCCTGAGTAGGAAATTAAATTTCTAGACGTGTGTTTGCTGTGCTTCTGCCTATGGCAGGCTCAGCTGGAGGCTCTGCAGCTGATGATGGACTCATTTCCCCTACACCCAGGAGCAGGAACTCCTTCCCTGCAGGGAACAGCAGCACAAATGCCAGGCAGCTTTGCCATGCTCTAAGTGTGACCCTGCCCAGACCTTGCCAACATGCAAATACCTGAGAGCATCCAGAAATACAAACCCTGAAAACAGTCCCAGGCAAACCTTTCCCAGAATACTTCCAGTCAATGAACTGCCTAGACCAAAGCTGACCCTTTAAATAATACTCATTTATATGTAAATTAAGATTAAAGACAACTGTTCTCTTAGCTTAGAACGTGATGAAAAGAACATCAGTTCTGGCATGCACACACCAGGTTTAATAATTTATTTCTTTTTTTACAAGTTAAGTATAAGAAAGCAAACAACACTGATTTCCCCATTGGAATAACCCAGACACAAGTCACTTGTGCCCAAGACAGTCTGCAAATATTTGTTTGATGTGCCTGGTGTTTTCCTCCCCCCTTAAACACAGTGATGTTCTGAAATCTACTTTTCTGCTTTGTTCTCTTGTACGGATCTGGTTTTATTCAAAAACCTGCAGTGCCACTAAGAGGAGCTGCCTGTTCTCACTTCCTTGTGTTCTCTGGATATATCCCTACTGAGTCAGCCCACAGACATGGGGAGCCACATCTTTGTGAAGGATTTTGGACAAGAATCTGTGCTTGCCCAAAATAGAGTGCTGGAAATAGCCAGAGGATGGAGAGCTGTGTCCTCAAAGGAAAGCAGCTGCTCTGGAGGGTGCAGGGGCTGCAGTGGGCACCTGTGCAGGTGTCACAGAGCTCCCCATGCATCAGCTGGGTGCAGAGAGTAAAGAAAGGGTTACAGGAGAGCTGGATAAAATACCCAGCAGGCTGCTGAATGGCTTTACAGACCCCACTGGGAGCAGAGAGTCTGAGCTGGCTGAAATGAGGCACATGCACTTAGCAGAGACATTAATTACCCACAGGAATGAAGGTGGGGATTCTGTTTCCTTGTGTCATCCTCTCAAGGCTGGATGAGTTTCTGGGATGGATGCTGTCATCAGGCAGGAGTTGCTGGGCTCAGGACAGGGAGAAGGGTGGGACCCAGTGGCCTTTGTTAGAGAGGAGGTCACTTGAGATGATCTCATGGGCCCTTCTGGCCTCAACCCTGATGACTCCTTCTTGTGTTGCCTTGTTAAGCAAAAGGCTTTGCCAGGAGGCAGCGCTCCCATTGCTTTCCAGATTATGAAAGAGGAGTGTTTGCCTTTAATTTCTCAGCTGCTGCAGAGTTTGCAGCAACCAGCTCTCTCTGTTTTCCTTTAGATACCTAAGCCTGTGGTTGCCTGACAATCTCCTTTATATGCTGCTGTTTTCATATGCTTATAATTTTACCAAGCTTTAATTATCTGGATTAATATTTCCCATGACAAATCACTGCTTAAGGCTCCTTCTCCCACTAAGGCTGGATAAACTCTTGCCTGTGTTAAATGGTTACTGTGTTTAATGGTGGGATTCAGTGATCTTGGGGGTCTTTTCCAACCTAAATTATTCCATGATTCCATCAAATTCCTGCTCATGTTCAGGGGACAGTTTTGTGGCTTGGAGTGAACTCTGTCAGGGACTCTCCTTGCTGTGGGGAATCCACCTTTTTCCGTGGAACACAGGCAGCCCAAAGCAGTGGGATGGGGCAGGATGCAATCGCCTCTCCCACCAGGCAGTGGCAGCAGGGAACTCTGAGTCACAGCACACGTGGGACCCTGCAGGACCCTGGAGATGCAGCCCACGGCCCTGCTCAGAGCTCTGCCCACCACTGGAGCATCTCCCTGCCCAGGAAAGGCTGAGGGAGCTGGGGCTGTCCAGCTGAGAGGGGCCTCAGCCCTGTCTGAGGGCTCAGAGACAGAGCAGGCTCTGCTCCAGGGGCCCAGCAATGGCACAAAGTGAAGGAACAGGAACCGATGCCCGCGAGTCCCACCTGAACATGAGGAAGAACCTCCCTGTGCAGTGACCGAGCCCTGGACAGACACCAGACAGGGTGTGGAGCCTCCCTCACTGGGGACATTCCAGAGCCATCTGGGCACAATCCTGTGCCCTGGGATGACCCTGCTGCAGCAGGGAGACTGGACCAGATGAGCCACTGCGGTGACTTCCAGCCTGAGCCACTCTGTGATTTTGTGGTGGGGTTTGGAGTGTCTCCAGGGGAGACCCCTCAGCCTCTCTGGGCAGCCTGTTCCAGTGTCAGGCCAACCTCAGAGTGAGAAAGAGCTTGAGGCGTTGCTCGGGGCCGAGTGGGAATAATGCAAAAATGCATATTTCTAAATTTTTTTCATTCAGGACATGAAAATTATGCATTTTTAACATGTTTTCTAATCTCTGTTGCCATATTTTTAATACAAATGATCAGCATGGACAGGGAATTCACACAGCAAATTGCTCTTGGTTTAGATTTGGTTGTGAATCTTTACCCAGTTTTGCCATAGAAAACTGGCTTGTTTCATGCTGTTTCCACTAGTAGGTGTAGAAGTTTTGTGTTGTGCTGAGGCACACAGGCTCTGTATTCTTAATACCATACACCAAAGAAACACTGGACATTCTCTTGCTAGACCCACATTTGATGCTGATACAGAATTGCATTGTTGCAATAATATCCATGGGTTACCACGCCATGTTGCCACTTTTTAGCATTAGAAAACCCCCATTTCAAGCCAGTTTGGTGAAGTCACACGCTCTCCACACTACATGTGTTTTTAATCCTATTTTCTTGTACGTTCATGGTGGGGTTTGTTGTTTACTGACTGCCAAGAAGTTGGTTTGGTTCCCCTGGCACAGCTGGCTCGTGGAACCCCAGGAGGTGGGTGCTGAATGGTGACTTGGTGAGCAAGGGCTCCTCCTCTTCCTCTGCCTTGCAGGATGGGACACCCACGGATGGTTTGCTCAGCAGAGCTTCCAACGTTTACATTCAGAGCTGGGACAGTTCCTCCACAGGGCCAGCCAAGGAAGAGCCTCTGCCCTCCCTCCACGAGGGAGGATTTCTGCCACTGCCCCGCAGCTCGTGGGGACACAGCTGCTGACGAGGACTTGGTGACAGAGGCCACATCCCTGCCCGATCCCAGCTCCAGGGCTGGCTTTCCCAGCCACCTCACAGGGTGTTTGTGGTGGATTTCTCTCTCCCTCTCCAGTGCTGCCCCTGTCCCCACCCAGGAGGGGTGGGAAGCCAGGTGTGGCAGTGACACCCGTGTGCCACCCACCCCCCCACGGCAGCTGCTTCTTTTAGCCCTGAGCTGGGCATCTATTGTCAGTAGTTTCTTCTAACTTTTCTTTTTGTCTTTTTTTTTTTTTTTTAAACCAAAGACCCTTAACTCCGCGCGAGCACCGCGCACGTTGTCAGACAACGCCAGCCTCGCTCCTGCCGCTCCTCTGCTCCAAGAGTTGGGTTTGTTTTAGGAGAACAGCCCAGGCCCCTGGGCTGCTGCAGCTGATGGGGGCCAGTGCCCCCAGCCCCGCTGCCAGGCTGAGCTCTGGGCTCTGTTGGCTCACAGCACTTTATCACTCACAGCTCTGAGCAACCAGCACACGCCAGTATTGGAAACTGGGCTCTCAGCCCAGCCCCTTCTGCTTCCCCGTGGATTTTGCACTGGACCTCGACATCTAAATACCTTTTGTTGTTGTTTTTTAATAGGCATTTCAGTCCCTTTTTCATTGCTGCCTTTGTGCTTTGAGCCCCGGAAGGTCAGGCCATGACTCAGCTTCGTGCACTGTCACTGAACTTAGGGAAAGAAAATCCAACACAATAACTTTTCTAAGCCATATTCTTCCTATCCATGTTTTCCAAAATAATTTATTTGCAACCGTGTCATACTCTGAGAGTGCACAAGGGCACCGTGAGGGTGTTCAAATGTGCTGGGGTGGGGCTTTTCATGGAACCTTTTTTTGTAACAGAACACAAGGTTGTGGTGGTTTTTTTAAAAGTGTTTTGCACATGTGTAGCTGAGGAAAAATTGTGTGTGTCCAAACCTTGAGTGCAATCACCAGGATTCGTTTCCCAGGTTATTTGGGGGGGGGTGAGGGAGGGAGGGCAGGAATATCCATAATTATTAAATATTTGAAGGCAGCCAGCTGAGAGTTTACAAAACTTTTTGTGTAGCATGAACACGGGAATTTCAGTTCAGGCTGGGACTTCTGCTGGTGACCAGTGACCTGGGGTGGCCAATCTGGGCTGCCAAGGAAGAGCCTGATTTCGGGGGCCCAGCCCTGTGCCGAAAATCAGGTGCCTGTGCAGGGTCTCAGGTGGGACACCCAGGGTGGCTTTTGCACCTGGGGAAACTCACAGCCCCCCTCTCACAACTTCCGGACTTAAGATGTAACTAAACACAAATGGTTTGGGGTTTTTTTTGTTTTTGTTTTTTTTTGGGTTTTTTTTTCTTCTAAATTTTATTGTATTATTGCAATAAATCTTTAACAGTAATTTTTTTAAAGTTGTATATTTATGACTGTTACTTCTGTGTGGTTTGTTTTTCACCGTGCTGGGCAAAGTACACAAGAATTTCCAGCCTTCAGAGCGTCACAGGGACCAGACCTGTTACAGTGCAATCAGTCATAGAGCGGTGGAATAAGCAACACCCATTCTAAAAAAATACTCTTACATAAAATAACTGCATCTCCGTGGGAGCAGGGGGTGGAGTCCTGCACAACACACACACACACATCCCTCTATGTACATGTAAACGGATAAACCTCCTGGGTGAGCCTGCTCCTGTGCTGGGGGATGTTTCTGCAGGTCATGGATTCCTTCTGCCTGCAAAGGCTCCTCGTCACGAGCTCATTCCAGGATGCAGGAAGGTGTCTTTTGAAGGATGGAGTCACTAAAGTGAAGCAGTGTCAGAGTGACGGGGATGGGAAAGGGCCCTGGTGGTTCACAGGCTGCTGGGAACAGACAGCGGAGGAGAAAGAACCCTTCCCACTCCATTTTTTGTGACATATGGGATGGGGAGGACCGGTGGCCCTGTGATTCCTGGCTGCTGGACACTCAGGAGTGGCAGCAGCACCAGCTGGGGGTCCTGCACACAGAGCTGGGCAGTCCCAGCACAGTCAGGGCATGGCCAGGGCAAAGCCAAGCCTGGGCCGGAGCTCAGCTCCTGCAGACAATGCTCAGGCCACTTCGGCTGCTTCAGCAGCAGCAGCAGCTTTTGTCCTCTGCCCACTTTGGTTTGTGGCAGGAGAGCAGCTGAAAGTGGCCTCGCCTGTCCCTCCACCAGCACTGCCTGGACCAGCCAAAGGCAGGTGGGAAGGGGAAACAGCCCCAGGTGAGGCTTCAGCACCATTTCCACCATGCAAGAAGTGGGAGTTGAGCCTCAGGTCGGATCTGCCAGTGCAGTTTTGTGCAGCTGTGAAATCCCAGAATGGTTTGGGTT